ATCGCTAGTACATTTTCACATCGACGAAGATGACGACATTGTTATTTTTGACGAAACATGCTCGTCTCTATCATTAATTAGGTCATCGATAATACTTTTTTAAATTGACTAAGCTAACGATATTGACATTTTTTTAATGAAACATGGTCGTCTCTAAATCTTTCGCCAATAGATTTGTGATACCAATCTATCATTAATTAGGTCATCGATAATACATTTTTAAATTGACTAAGCTAACGATATTGACATTTTTTTTAATGAAACATGGTCGTCTGTAAATCTTTCGCCAATAGATTTGTGATACCAATGTCGTCCATTCACCTAACCACTGCAACATGCCCTCATCGTCACTGGCAAATCAAGAAGGAATTTAGTTAGACGCTACAAAATATAGATATAACAGCAAACAACATATTCACCGCATACAATCAAAAAATCAAAGATCTATGAAAGATAAGACGAACCTTAAGATTGAATGGATTGAAACCACCTATCGCTCTCGTTAAACAAGGAACAAATCTGGAAAAAAGGTGGTGTTAGAGGTGAAGAGGAGGGATTACACAGATTATAGGAAAAAAGGTTGTTACGACTCAGGAGAGTAGAGAGAAGAGGATGTGTTCATCTATAATGGAAATAGAACAAGGAGACACCATAGAGAGGCCTGATGATGGAGAGCAGAAGAAGAGAAGGAAGATTAGAGGCTGTTCGGCTGGGAAGTAGGATATCGATAGCCGATTAGGGTTTGCGTTAGTTAAGAAATGGATGGATGGCTGAGATTTAAGTAACGGGCGATTGAGATTTATGTAGAAGGATCCTAATGGAGTCGGTCATCAATCTTGGCCAAGTTTAAAAAATAAAGGAAAAAGATAAACATCTCCTCGGTGTTCCTAGGTGATTAAAGTAATTACTAATTAATCAAATTGTAGTAAGTTTTCCTTTCAGAAATGTACGTAATATATTTTGACTAAAAAACGTGGGTAATATATATTCTTAAAATATAATTAATTACTGTGAGAAAAAAATGATAATTCCTTTTCTCTGTATTGTTTCTCAATTTTTTTAAGTGTTGTTTCTTTAGATAAATGTAATAGATTATAGGATAAAATTAATGACCCTAAATCTTAAGATACTAAATCAAACCACATTCATAAATCACTGTCTCTATATTAATATTAGAAGTTTTGAAATTTTGTAACTCCATTTTCTTGTCTTCAATAGTGATGATGATTTTTTGCGAATAATATTTTTTTTTTGTGATGAAACATTACGGACGACCAAATTATATTAATCACAATTACTATGGTGACAATTTTTTCCTCCAAAGATTAGACTTAGTGACAAAGATCTAATTTATACAGACAAGATATAGGCTTCGTCGCAATACATAAATTTTTGACGAAGCATTATTGACGAGAGTGTAATGTCGTCCCTAAAGTATTCTGTTGCGATGAATTTGACCTACCGTCGCTAAATTTTTCACTAATGACTGTCTTTTTCGACGACATATAGGCTTTATCACAAAATCAATGTTTTGACGGAACATTACTGACGACCAGATTTTATTCGTAGGAGATAACCATGGCGCCAATTTTTCCCTCTAAACAGTATAGTTAGTGACAAAGATTCTTGTCTTTATCGACGATGTCTATGGTTTATCGCAAATACATAACTGCTTGACGAAACATTATTGACGAAAGTGGAATATCGTCACTAAAAGTCATTTTTTGCGACGAAATAGACCCGCCATCGCTAATTTTTGTCACTAATGGCACGCTTTTTTGTAGTGTAGTACATAAGATTTGCCTCCTAGACTCTGGATATTAGTTGGACCAAAGAGATCCATATGGAGTAGTTCAAAGATAGTTTTAGTTGTAATGTCCCTTTTGCTTTTGAAAGATTTTTTACACTGTTTTCCTAGAATGCATGCTTCACAGGAGAAGTTGTCAGAGGCCTTAATGACAGGCAATCCTCTAACAATGTTCAGCTTTGAGAGTTTGGCAAGTTTGGATAAGCTCATGTGACCTAGTTTTCTATGCCAATTTATCACAGAATCAGAGATAGAACTCAAACAGATCTCTTCAGAGAGATCAATTGTGGATAGGTCAACAGTGTAAACATTGTTGACTTTCTTACCTTCAAATATAACAGCATTGTCAGAGATACGTTCAATTTTACAGCAAAGAGGGTCAAATATCACACGATAAGTGGAACCACAAATTTGACTGATTGAAAGCAAGTTGTGTTTTAATCCATCAACATATAGAACATCTTCAATAATTAAGGAAGAATTACCATTAACAGTCCCTTTTCCTACAACAGATGCACAGTTATTATTGCCATAGAAAACCTTACCTCCTCTTTTTGGGTTTAAAGAAGAAAACAAATTTTTGTTACCTGTCATATGGTGAGAGCATCCAGAATCTAAGTACCAGATGTTACCACCTTTATTGTTCTGAAAAAAGATTAGTTAGATGATTTAACAACCCAAACAAGTTTGGGTTTTGGTTTCTTGTAAAGACAATGAGAGACATTATGTCCAGATATATTGCAATTTGAGCAGAATAGAGGAAATCTCTTAAGATTGGATCGGATATGATAATTCATGTGTCTATATGAGTTGTTCACAGTGTGGAATCTATTCTCCTGATGAGATCTCCTATAACTTTTATTCCATAGATTCTGTTTTTGATAAGTCTTCTTTCTTAGTTCTTTATTTTCTGCAATGAGATTAGCTACTTGAGTATCTTGAGAGAATTGAGCAGCTTGCTGAATTCTAAGTAGCTCTTGTAGTTGAGTGACTTCCTTTTCTTTTTCATGTAATTGAGCAACAGTAAGACAGAATTTACTCTTAAGCAAGTTGCACTCATTTTGTAGGTTTGACAGAGCATGAAGAAAGAAATCTTCATTGCATGTTTCAAACTCAGATTCTGAGAAGGTTTCAGACCATACCTTTTCAGTGAGAGGTTCTTCTTCAGAGCTCGAGTTTAGTCCCATGTATGCAACTATTTCTGGTTCCTCTTCAGAGCTGTAATCACTCCATGTTGCAGCCATAGCTTGTTCTCTTCTCTTATTCAGTGGACAATTAGCTCGGATGTGACCTGTCTTGCCACATTTAAAACAAATTGTGGAATCAGTTTTGTCATTTGAGGATTTAGAATCTCTAGAACCAAAGTCTGATTTGGAAGCAAAAGAGTTTTTGTCTTTGATCCACCAGAGTGATGTCCAGGCATTTTAGGGTTATTTTGAGCAGAGTTTCCATATGATCTTTGGTGGGGATTATCTCTTCTTTTAGTATTAAGATCATGTTTATATTTCATCATCCTTTGAAGTTTCTTGCTGGTTAGAGCAAGCTCATTTTCAAAATCCTCATCTAGCTTTCCTTCTTCTACAGTGCATACAGATTGAAAAGCTATAGTTTTGTTTTTCCTGTCAGATTGAAAGAGAATTGGACGAGGCTGCTGGGACGTAGGGGGAGACTGTGGTCACCCAGCCTGCAAATGATGAAGCATAGATCTAAGTCTCAGGGGGAGTCAGAGTAACCAGCCTCTAAGAAAGCTGATCTTAGAGAATAAATGTTTAAGTATATGACCATCGTTTGAGTGTTAAAGACCATAAAGGTCTATTTGATTGCTATGTTTATCAAGACCATAATGGTCTAAGTTTATCTTCATGTTCTTGGATTATCAAAATAAATCGATCAGTGTTCATTGATGTGTGATAATAAGTTTCTTGAAATACAAGTATGCTTTTAAGTTAGTGGTTGTTTTGAGTGCAGGACTCGGGGTTACTGCTGTAGCAGAGTTGACTCCAGAAGTGCAGTCTCAAGCGCAGGGGGAGATTGTTGGCCTTGGCCCTGTCTTGCTCCAGGAACCATAAAAGCCCAGTCGAGCACTTAAGCCCATTTGACCAGCCTTGCACTCGACAAAAGACAGAAGCGCTTCATCGTCTTCACTTCTGTCATCAGCCGCATCAAAAACCTTAAAACAAGAAACTCCAACCTCGATCTTCTCCATCATCAATTCCCCTGCAACGGAAACATACATTGAAGAAGGGTGGCAGAAAGGCTCTTTCGAGTCTATTTAAAGAAAGGCACAGGGAAGAAGCAAGGCGCGGGTTTCCTATTCTCAGTAAGAGTGTTCTGTCTCTTTGGGAGTCTAGGTCTGGGTCTTTGTTAGTGTCTGGAAAGCTTGAGTTGGGGCTGTGGCCAGGGACTCAAGCTTGTCTGGGCATAGCGCGTTGTCTTCTTTGTTTGATTTATGATTGCTCATCTCAACTGTATTGAATTGATCAAGTGATCTCTCTTCTCTATTCTATTCTGGCTAGGTTTTGCAATCTCCAGTTTTTAATACAATTGAGAATTGATTCTGATCTAATCTTCATCTTTAATATTGATAATGACCATGGAATTAGATACATAGTGAAACTACAGGTTGGTCGGCGATAAGAGTAAGTCTAGATCCAGCTATTGTATTGTGTTGCCACTTTTACGCTAGTGGTGTGTTTTGGACTCTCGTATATGGTTACTATATACGCACATCAGGTATGGCTCCACAAACATAGATCTGTCTCTTTGGTATTTGAACCAATCAGTTAGCTTTCAAATTTGAAGGCAGCCTGTTTACTGTGATCTCTCATGCGCGCAGACTCTATTTCTTTTGTTCCCTTTATTGAAAAATGATAGTGATGAGTACACATGTAGGATAAGGAAGACGATCTGAAAGTGGGTGTTAAATCTACAGCATTGAGATTTGGGGATTCGACAAAGCTATGGATCTGTGGGTTTGGAATTGCATGCATGAGCAGCCTTGCTGTCAGCGGATTTCATGCTGATCTCGGTAAACTTGGTTTCCTTTGACTCTCCCAATTATCCCAGATGTTATTAGTTACTAGAAAGATTACCCGCTGCTACGCGCCCCGGGGACTTAAGTTGCAAAAGTTACATCTACATATGAAGACATTTACATATACATTTAAGACAAAAATACGTTGTTTGAGAAGCAGGATAATACAATGGCCATTGACCAAATTAAAAAATTGCAAAAGCGAACTCGCAGTAGCAGGGCAAGAAATGTTGCAGCAGCACGGACACACCATATGCTTATTGCATTGAAGCTCAATTTTAGGATGATTGATACCTGACAAAGCTTACACCAAGAAATGAAGAACTCTTGTTTAACAAAGGGATTGGAAGTAATGAAGAACTCTTGTTTAACAATGTCAACCAAAGGGATTGGTAGTAATGAAGAACTCTTGTTTAACAATGTCAACTTCATCGAGCAACAAATGCATCGTTGACAACACAACACAACATCATGAATTTTTGTTTCTTCTCCGCTTTGAACCTTCTTGTTATTTGTATTTGGAATACAGAACTCCACCCACTGCAAAGCCAATTATCTTTAGTAAGAAACATAACAATTCAAAAGCATAAAGAGATCACTGACACACTGATGGAAAGAATGCACATATTCCCCACTTAAGTTGCAACATAACCACGAATGACCCTTTAAATGCTGTTGTAATCCCAGCAACTTCCCCAACTGTGGATCACTAACACCCAACATGTCTGGAAGCAAAAAAAAAAAAGAAAAAAAAAGAAAGATTAAAAAGGCACTGGTACCTTGCTGGTACCACCAGTCACTATAAACAAAAACAAACCAAAGCACTCAACTTACTAATCACCATTGTTTTGAACAATCAAAATTTCTCCAGAACTAACCAACCATAATAACTCACTGGACAATTTGCTCTAGCTTCAAATCTTCTAAACCCTTCATCCCCATAGAGCAATTCACTTAAAGAAATCTGACTCAACTATTGAATCAATCTATGTATATAATGGTTGTCTCCAGTCACAGTTGGTTGTATCAACACCAAAGTATCTAGTGATACACCAAATTGATTAAACACTAAAAGCTTCAGGAACTGAACCAAACAACATAATCAGCAAGATACAAAATAGATGGCCTACCAATGGGCCATCGAGAAGTTGGGTCGATAAAACAACATAAGAAGAAGACTAAAATTCTCAGTGAACTTGTACAGTTAACCTAATGAAGAAACATAATGACTAAGATTCAAATCAAGCCAAGGCATTAAATCCTGACTCAGATCCACAGTAATGTATCATCAGTTGGAATGGAAACTGAAAGACCTAAGATCTCGAAGTGTTTTAGCTACCTACTTACCTTTTCTAGCCGACTTGTCAAGTGCTTTGATTCTATTCCCTATTTTTCAAAGGCACTTCCCATCAAACTCCAAGAAGATGTCTCCTGCAACAATAAGATCCTAATAATGAATTGTAATGGCTTAAACTAACCTGCTGGAACTGAAGTAAAACAAAACAAAATCATTTTATCATTACTACCTGCTTGCTTACCTAAACTCTCTCAAACTCAAAAGAAAGGCAAGACTAAACCAATCCTCACCTGGTATCATTATCAGTGAGCATCAACTGTAGCCTGTAGTAACTTCAAGGTCCAGTTCACCAAAAGCAAGCATCACCTGCATTCAAATTCACCACATCAATTTAATGCATGACTGGAATTTCTCTTTCCATGCATATCTATTCGCAGAAGGACATACACTAATAAAACCCCATGAACAGGCTAATAAGAGAACTGTTGTGCATTTTTGTGTCTGCTAATATCTTTTAATGAACCAAAATTTTGATTTGATGGTTGGGGAAAGAGATCAATGATAGGTATGGTCGTACGGACCTTATGTAGGATTGCAAGCAAAAGAAATTTTTTTTACATCTTTTGAAAGGAGATTCTACCCTCCCCACAAAGTACAACACTGGCTTTCAATCAAGAAAGGCCTCCTATGCATACATGCATTAGCCAAAAGTAGGAAGGACCTGCTGCAAAATATTAATAAGGTCCACAAAGTTGATGTTGAGTTTAACTCGACAGAGGGCAAACTTGGAAACGGTCTTTCAACCTTAGATGCAAAACTGAGTTTGGAAATTCTCTTAGCTAATATATTAAACTCATATCCATGGCTCCAATAGCATGAAAGGGCATTTCCAATCCTAACAACAAGATAAAGTTTGGGACAGACCTAAAACTTCCCTGCAGCAGTGCTCCTTCCAACCTTAATTCTAAGCAGACAACTCAGTCCATCTTTCTCCTCCTGTATCCATACCCTCCTGTCGGCGTACTATAGCTTCGGAGTTCTATGGAGAACGAACTAAATGCCAACTCGAACTCCTCTTACTTCTCATTTGCAGTTTGATACCGGAGAGGTGGTGGAATTGGGAGCTGACCCTGAAAGGTTGAAAGATTTGGGCTTTTCCCATTGATTGACAGTGAGAATGCAATCGCTATAGACGGAGAAAGGATCATTGTTAATCGGCTTCCAAAGCCTAGTAGTAAAGAACAAAACTAATGACATAAATCAAGGTTTTTTTAAAAACAAACATGAGCAAGACAAACCAAAAACACAAACAAAGAGAGGTAATAGTAAGTGGTAACCTGTTGGGAAAGAAGAATGACGGGAGAGCTACACACACAATCCCACCGGAACCACCCGAAAAATGCTCTCTGCTTTTCGCATATTGTTGCTGGTATGATCCTGCAACTCTTCCCAGTTAGTATCCAGATTGGATGATATATATATCCAGAAGGAAAAAAGGCAACTAAATTAAAATAAAAATCCATCCATAAAAGAACCAAGAACCAAGAAACAAAGAGCATTGAATCTTTCATAATTTTAATTTGCTCATATACCGTGAACTTCAAAATACTGAGTTCTTCCACGAATCCACTCATCACTGGCCAAGATGAGACGAAGTCTATCCGCTACGGAAAAGAAAAGAATTGAGTTTCAGAGTGAAGGAGTAGGAAAAATGATGTAGAGTAGAGATGAAGGATCTTAGCCTAAGAACGATGAGATATGCGGGTAGGCGGGAAACCGTTGCCTAAAAGCAACTAATAGGAGAAAGACAACTCACTCATTTCGTTCGTCCGCATTGTCGATAACTTGGAGAACCCATCGAAGCGCCTAGGGTCTCCAGCCGTCAATGCTAGCTTTGAAAGGAAGATGTTGTTCATGGTGGTGAGGTGGATAGAAGAGTTGGATGCAGGAAGAGGAGGTGTCGCTGAAATTGAATAGGAAAGAACCAGAGAAGAGAGGTCTTCTCTAATCCAAAGGAGTAAGGTGAGGATGTAGGTGGTGGCGTGTGGGGAAAAGACTACAGCTTGGAATGGTGAGAGGATGGGACATTACTGAAGGTTTGCTTGTGATTGCTGAGAAGAGATGGGAAGGGTTCCTTGTATTAGCTCCCTTTACTCTTTAGATCGGCCCGTTAATTCTAGTCATCCCTCGCTAGATGACAAAGAATGAAACAGTAGTTGCAAGTTTGGGCAATAAAGTGTAGTCCGCTATTATATATAAGATAATAGCTAGGGTTGTTAATGAGCCGAGTCGAGCCGGGCTTTGTCATAGTTCGGACTCGGCTCGTTAATATATTTCCAGACTCGAGCTCGGCTCGTTTATGAAAATGGAAGCTCGAGCTCGGCTCGTCAAATAAGCTTAACGAGCCAAAAATCGAGTTCAGCTCATAAAATGTTCGTGATAGCTCAAGATTGACCTAGAACTGCGCACAAAATTACATTCAAACCTGTAGCAAAGTCTAGCAAAGTAAAACACAATATTTATCCCAATTTCAATACATAAAATCCATGAATTCTAATCCTTTTCTTATGCCAAACCATTAAATGAGCTTGTTCGCGAGCTTTCGAGCTGAACATGGTATAGCTCGAGTTCGGCTCGTTTAGTTAACGAGCTTGTTCGCGATCCGGCTCGATTAAAACGAATCGAGTGTCGAACGAGTTTTTCTCCAGTCGTACACCGAGCCGTTCATGAGCGGTGTTGATGTGACTCGAATCGGACTATCAGCCACTACGGCTCGGGTCAGCGAGTGGGGTCCAGGGGCAACGCCCCCGGCCCACGGTGTATGGGCTCAATTTATTTGGGTTCGGGTTCTGGGCCTGGTCTGTAACCGTTTCCTTTGCCAGATTGGATTAGGTTTAGACCCACACAGAGAAGTACTATAAATACTCCTCTGTAATCTGTAATCTCCTTGATTTAGTGAAACTGGCTCTCTCTCGCCCGTGGACTAGCTAACACGCATCGTGTTAGTGAACCACGTAAATCGTGTGTCTGTGTTTTTTTTATTCGTGCTTTCGTATTCTTGCTTTATCGATTCCGGCGATTTTCCGATCCGTAGCAGCGCGTTTATAACAAGCTGCTTGGTTTATTAATAACCCTAGCTACTTATAGCAATGAAACAATTTTTGCTTATTCTTCAAACTGACCTGCTCCCAGGTTGGCCATATTATACTAGTTTAGTAGCAGCATCCGGACAATTAGCTTGGCAGATTCAGACAGTCGGCAGACTCCTGCAGTAGTGATAAGTAACACAGCTAGCGTGATACATGTTAGTATAACTCGGGAGCATTAATATAATTCTGGCACATCATCACCGTGCATGTGCTGTTGATTAACATTCTCCTATCTATTGTGTTGAAGGTCGACCTGGCTGAAACATGGAAATGGTGGAGGTTTGCGTTGTTGCTAATGCTGAGTTCTTGGAGGGAAGGGCTCTTGGGCTCATCCATCATAATGGTGAAATTGGGGGCAGATCGATACGCCGCTAGTCAAGGTCGCTGTTGGGACTTGGTGGCAGTGGAGGAATCAGAAGAACAGATTGGAAGGCGAGTGGTGGAGGAGGATGACGTGGCAGCAGTGCCGGGGGCTTTGATGGCTAGAGTGTTTTCCCGAACGACTCGGCCGATTTAATTTGGATGGTGGATCCTGGGCTGGGCGGTAATCGAATGTCTCGCCGACCCTCCAAAACTACCAGAGTCAGCGACAACGTAACGCTTATTGGCGGCAGACTGGATGAGGGGAAGCGGAAATTGGATTACAAAGAAGATACGGCAAAATACTGTATTGACATTTCACATTTGCATGGTAGGTTGAATTACAAAGAAGAATTAAGCAAAAGGCTCATAGTTGATTGGATTAGGTTTATTAATTATTGAGAAAGTTTATTTGAAAAATTGGTAAATCGCTAAATGCAATTCATACTCATGGTTAATGTAGTCAAAATTGCAATTCCATGTACAAATAAAATAATTGGGTGATTTAGAAGCGTAAAAACGTAAGCTTTTAAACTTTAAATGGTAGATTTTGATTACAATTGTAATTTGTAAGTAAAAAGTTTGATTCTACGAAGCGTTTTGGTGAACTAAAAGTGTAAAAACATAGGTTTTTAAATCTTAAAGCGCGATTTTAACTACATTGTTCATAGTATCGTTTTGGTGATCTTCCACTATCATGTTATGCATAATAATACAAGTTAACATGATATAACCAAGTGTTTGCACATCCCATAAATAACTCGGGCTCCTAACAATGACTCATCTTTGTTGAAGTATGCCAAAGGCCCTCTCATCATACAACATCAAGAATAGTGATCCAATCGTGCACATGATTGTGCAATCCAATTCGTCTTGGCATTAAATTTACGAAATCCCAGTCTGATGGTCAGATTCTTATGTAAAGTTGCAGACATTCAGTCATGAATTATGGAGAAATTCATGGTACAGAAGAGAAGCAAAGGATTCTTGTACATAGGGATGGCAATGAGGCGGGTTTGGGGCGGGTTTGCCTAAACCATCCCCATCCCCATCTTCAAATACCCAAACCCATACCCGCCCCATACCCATGCGGGGGAATGTTTTGCAAACCCATCCCCATACCCGTGGGTTTCGGGTACCCATGGGTAATACCCATCCCCGTACATCCAACATTATTATACCTAAAACTTACAAGAAAAGTTTTAATTATAACCATAAACAAACCTATTATATCACGAAGTCAACAAAACACGGTCATTTTCTAAATACGATTCAAAGAATATGATCCTAAAACATCCATTAATACATAATATAGACTATAATATTTTTTAAATTATTATGCTCTAACTCTTGATACATTTACTAAGTAATAATTAACTAACATAATTTTGTTGACAAGGGGGAAAGTGAAAGAGTGGAAGGAGAATTGAGGGAAATGAATTAGGTTTTGATTAAGGTGGTTACTCAATTGCATTTCTACTATTTATTTTCTCGAGTTATCATCATCATCATTGATAGATTACAATTTAATCCACGTATTTTTTGATATGTGAAGAAATTCTCTTGGTGGGGCGGGTATAGGTATGGGTATGGGGCGGGGGAGGCTAAAACCATACCCGCCCCATACCCATCAAACCTTTTGCGGGTTTTACCCATACCCGCCCCATACCCGGTCAAAGCGGGGATTCCCCGCGTTGACTGGGTATGGGGCGGTCGGGTACCCGCGGCCATGGGTTTGATTGCCATCCCTACTTGTACATTGTACCAGTTAAAGGAAAGAAATGAAGAATAATTTTTGGGTAGGTTGTAGTTGTGGATCGTTTTCTCCAAATTAAAGTACACACAACCAACATGTCCACCTTATTTAGGGCAAATCGTTATAATGAGATGCATATGAATGTTGCATTAGTTATGAGTAGTATAATATGTGTTTATAGCTATATAAAAATTATTACGCTTTGCCGAAATGGATTCGGACCTCATCGGTTTCTCTTAATAGCAGGGGTGGCTATACGATCCGGTTAAATTGGCCCAAATTGATCCGGTCCAGTTCGGTCTTTTTGAAAATATAAGGACTAAAGATTGGATTGGATATAGTCCGGTCTTGATCCGGTCCGGTCTCAATTCGGTCTTGATTTTATATTGAGCTTGTGGGGATTTGAGTGGCCTAAGGCATGAAAAGGTGAGGAGTTGGTTAAGTTTTGTACTAAGTGCAAAGGTGTGACCGTTTATGCAAATTACCCTTAAGTTATGGATGTTGAGCTCTCTTATACAGTCTTTATCCAGTTTTTGATTCGGTCCCGAACGGTTTTTTTACCTCAAATCTAAGTCCAAAAATTGGATTGGATTATTTAATATCCGGTTCTGGTCCGGTCTTGGTCCGGGTTATACAGTCCGGTTTCGGGTAAAATAAAAAAACCCGAACCAAAAAGCCGCCCTAGTTAAAATATCGATATGATCTTCTGGCCGGTCTCGATTCAACCAAAATCAATAAACCATTAAGAAGCTGGACCGTTTACCACTCCTGCTCGTCGTCAGGGCCGGCCTGGAGGGTGTGTCAGCCGTCTCTCCGGCACAGGGCTTAGATTCGTTAGTTAATCCAATAGTATATTGTAGGTTGTATTTCTAGTGTACGATTAATTGATTATGAGAATGATGATATGTTTAATTAATACTAGTGTTAGTTATTGATTAATAATCTCATGCATATATACAGTAAACACGTATATTGATGGTTAAAGTATTGTTTGTGTTTCGAAAATCCTATTTGTATTAACAATAATACAAAAAAATCTTAATGAAATAACTATGATAACAATTGAAAATGATCTAATGGAGACTAAAAAATAGAAAGATATTATATTTCGAATAATAATATTATAATCATTTTAATTTTATTAACTTATAGTAAGATTTCATGGGCCAAATCTCGATTTTGTAACAGAGCCTCCACGATCCATTGGACGTACGGCCCTGCTCGTCGTTATAATAACGAAGCTAGTAAGCAATTGCATTGGTTTGGTCGTTGGGTTGATTTTTAGTCTTTCGGTTGCGTTTCGAACCAGTGGCTTGGGTGGCCCGTACGTGCGGGTCTTTCTATCATGTATGCAACTGGCAATTGGGTCTCTAAACATGCATGCAACAGCTGGCTGCTCACCAACCAATCTATACATTTTTGGGTTCGAATTTAATTGATTCCCTATTCCTTCTCAAATTTCTCCTTTTTGTGATTAATTTTATTATTTTCATTTGTAGCGCACGAAATAATATAACAATAATAATGTAAAAGATTATGAAGCTGATTATTTTCCAAGGTTCTGAAACCGGTTTATATTGTTATGCCTATTTGGTAAGTTATAGTCTGATAGCTGGTACAATCTATCTATGCCAATTCAATTCATATTTGTTTTAGCAAAATATGTATGGAAATGGGAAATCATTAACACTTAATTAATTTAGGCATGCATATAACATATTTGAAGACAATATCTCTAAAATTTACATTCATATTTAAATAAAATACAACATTTCAAATACAATTAAAAATCCTTCATATTTAAATATAACATTTAACGACAACATCCAAAAGTTTATAAACATTCATAATTTAATCCAACAAATAATATCAAAATTTAACTTTCAATCTCAGAAAACCAGTAAAAATGTATTATTATTTAATTACAACTGGTATTAATAGAACTCGATCAATCAACCGAACCCAATTTTATAATGGGTATTAATAGAACTCAGTTTTACCATACCGGCTGACATGCTAATGAGATGACAACCATGTTATTTTCTTCCACAAGTAATTGATAAGAATCCCAAGTCCCCACTCAAGAACTAATTAACGAATTAATTGATTAATTTTGTTAATTCACTAGGAGAAAACACAGCTCACGTTTAAGTCTTCAAACCAAACTACTAAACCAACACCAATCACACCAAACTAACCCTAATTATATGTCAATCCAACGGCGGTGATACAATAGCGCGTGCCATCCACGGCCCTGTTAGCCTCGATCCAGCTGTAATTGTAACAAGTAACAACGTCAGTAGATCTCTAAAACCTCTACGAGAGAAAAGCAGTAATCACAATCCCATTGAAAATCAAATCACTCTCGAATCAAACGCCGAAATTCTTTCCCAATCTCTCCCTATATAAATAACCCAACAATATTCAGTCTCATTCATTCCCTCTGTCCCAATCTCCAACCAACCCTTCTCTCCCCCCCCCCAAAAAAACCACACTAACTCCTCCAATCGCGTCGAGCGACAATGACCGGCGGTGACAGCGCCACGGGCGTCCAGCGGCGGCACCCTCCGCGCTACGCGGACGAGTCCGGCCGCGATTCCGACGAGATCGTCGCCGAGGACGCGGCGGCGGAGGGGAAGATCTCGGTGGAGGACGCGTTCAGGGACGCGGAGGTGCCGTCGCTGTGGCAGCAGCTGACGTTCCGCGCGATCTTCGCGAGCGCGCTGCTCAGCCTGGTTTTCAATTTCATCGTCTGCAAGCTGAATCTGACCACCGGAGTGATCCCGTCGCTCAACGTCGCAGCCGGCTTGCTCGGATTCGCGATGCTGAAGGGATACACGGAGCTGCTCAACAGATTCGGATTCCTCAAGCAGCCGTTCACCCGCCAGGAGAATACAGTCATCCAGACCTGCATCGTCGCCTCCTCCGGGATCGCATTCAGCAGTACGTAATCCCTAATTTTTATCTTTTTTCAATCTGTTTTTTTTTTAAACCCTAATTTGCATTATACTAGGATTTAATTGGAATCTCTTCAACTACGTCCTGTGCAATTGAATCATAGTGAAGTAGTGGTTCTCGGCTTCGTTCCTCGTATGAGCGCTACGCCACTATACTCCTAATTTGTTTGTGTGACGCAACAAATGCAGTTCGTACCTAACTTTTTGTACAAAAAAATTCATGGTATAAATTGAACTCGTCTACTTATAAATTCAATAAGTACCTATACAATTCCGTATAAATTAAATTTTTCGTTTTTACAAAACCATTTTTGTTGCGAAGTTAATACCTATAAAAAATTTTGGTACGAATTTTTTATATTGTACAAAGTACACATGAAATTTCGATATGATAGTACAAATTCGACTTGTATCGCGCTTACTTTGATGGCTGCTTGTTTGAAGGTGGGACGGCGAGTTACTTGCTGGGAATGAGCCCAGTGGTAGCGAAGCAGGGGGAGACTGGGAACACGCCATTGAACGTGAAGGAGCTCTCTGTTGGTTGGATAATGGGGTTTCTCCTGCTGGTGAGCTTCGTTGGACTGTTCTCCATCGTGCTGCTGAGGAAAGTGATGATCCTCAAGTACAAGTTGACTTACCCTAGTGGTACCGCAACTGCCCATCTCATCAACAGCTTCCACACCCCCAAAGGAGCAGCTCTCGCCAAGTAATTATTAACCTTATCAGAAATTTCATTATTAGTTAATCAATCATTTTTGGTTGATTAATTATTGTTACGGATCAACTTCAACTACTGCAGGAAGCAAGTGGGAGTGCTCTTCAAATCGTTCGGCGGCAGTTTCATTTGGGCCTTCTTCCAGTGGTTCTTCGCCGCTGGGGATGCGTGTGGCTTCGCCAACTTCCCCACTTTAGGCATTCAAGCGTTTAACCAGAAGTAATTATATTATTCAGTTATAATCACTCACTAACTAGTAATTACTACTTTGTTCGTTTTCCTAATTAATCACTTGATTGATACTGCAGATTCTTCTTCGATTTCTCGGCAACGTATGTTGGAGTTGGTATGATCTGCCCCTACATGGTTAACATTTCGCTGCTTTTTGGCGCCGTGATTTCCTGGGGATTAATGTGGCCTTTGATCGATGCCAAGAAAGGTGACTGGTTCAGCGCCGATCTTAGCCCTAGCAGCCTCCACGGTCTCCAAGGTTATAAGGTACTTGTTGCTTTCATTTACGTCATTATTTGCGTAAGAGTTATGATTATTCACAGACATAAAAATTTATATATTCTATTTTCTTCTATTAAGTGGTATTGTCCAAATTTTATGAAATTAAATTTAAATTTTCAGGTTTTATGTACAAATGAGCTGCACTCATTTTAATCTACCCAACAATATTCATTTTGCGATATATTTCAAAATTTAAAGATTGGTTTTACACATTTGTGAAACAAATAACAATTTGCTTTAATAAATACCGTGTGAATAACTACCACTATTATTATTATTATTATGTGAATTAAACATTAGTATGACATAACAAATGTGTAAATGTTGGTTGCAGATATTCATCGCAATCGCGACAATGTTAGGCGACGGGCTATTCCAGGTGATCTACCTGCTGGTCAAGTCAACAACATCCCTCATCACATCCTACACATCCAAACCCAACACAACCACCGACTCCTCCGCCCTCGTCGACGATGCCACCGCCGCCGCCACCGCCGTAAGCTACGACGACAAGCGCCGAAAGGAGTACTTCCTCCGCGACCAGATCCCAACAAAGTACGCCATCATCGGCTACCTCGCCACGGCCGCAATCTCCACCGGCTGCGTCCCCTTAATCTTCCCTCAGCTCCGTTGGTACCACCTCGTCGTCGTCTACCTCATCGCCCCGGTCCTCGCCTTCTGCAATGCCTACGGTTGCGGGCTCACGGACTGGTCCCTGGCGTCCAACTACGGCAAGCTGGCCATCGTCATCTTCAGCGCCTGGGTGGGCCTGGGCCGCGGAGGTATCATCGCGGGCCTGGCCTCGTGCGGAGTCATGATGTCCATCGTGTCCACGGCCTCGGATCTAATCCAAGACTTCAAAACCGGGTACCTCACGCTCTCTTCCCCACGCGCCATGTTCTTTTCGCAAATCATCGGCACGTTCATGGGCTGCGTCATGTCACCCTTGGTGTTCCTCCTCTTCCTGAAATCGTACCCGCTCGGCGACCCGAGCGGGCCCTACCCGGCCCCCTACGCGCTGATCTACCGCGGGATCGCGCTGCTGGGGGTCGACGGGGTGTCCACCCTGCCGCGGAACTGCCTCGCGCTGTCGATTGGCTTCTTCTTCTTGGCCATGGCGGTCAACCTCGCGAAGGAGCTGCTGCAGAAGTACGAGACCAAGTATAGGATCTACAGGTTCGTGCCGAGTCCGATGTGTATGGCGATTCCGTTTTACCTCGGGGCGTACTTCGCGATCGACATGTGCGTGGGGAGCTTGATTCTGTTCTTGTGGACGTGGAGGAATAGGAGGCAGGCGGAGGACTATGCGGCGGCGGTGGCTTCCGGGATGATATGTGGGGAGTCGTTGTGGGGGATTCCGGCGGCGATTCTGTCGCTGGCTGGGGTTGGTGCGCCGATCTGCATGAGGTTCTTCTCGGCCGGGGATAATAAGAAGGTCGAGGCCTTCTTGGCTACGTTGTAGTCAGCTACTATAGTGCAGGAACATGTTTTTTTTTTCCTTCTCTTTCTTAACGTTTCGGTAGTTTGTGTTTATGTAGTAATCCTGTTTGGTTTTATTGTTTTGGATTTTGATTAAGGTTGTAAATGCATTACTATTCGGTATTAATTATATTTGTGACGATTTGTTTACTCTTTAATAATTCCTCTGTACTTGTAAATAGATGTTGAATGTATGCTAGCACTAAAATTATGATTAGCTTTTTTTTATATAAAAAATAATCATATATATTGATTGTAAAAATCGATCATTGCATCCTGCAACGAATTCAGGCCACAAAATTAAACGAGCGACACTTAGTCGACTACAAAGAAAGGACCTTGTGTTCCATCAAATGGGCTACTCTATTACTACGGCGACCTACGAATCGCACTCTAAACCCTATATGCTCAGCCGAATAATTCAATACTTCACGAAAAATGGCCCCAACGCGACTATCACTATCTTGAGCTAGGTTGAGTCTATCAATAACGACCTTAGTATCAGGCACCATAGGATCGCCTCCTGGAGGACCAAGTGCTCTACTATCATGGGATTATCCATCCCGGGGAAATGAACGGTCGTAGCCATGATGATCGCCCCATCTTGGTCTAGGAGAACCATCCCCCCAGCCGCATGGGACCCCTACCTCGTCGCCCCATCCCACCTGCAGACCACCCAGTGGAGGTAGATTGCGCACCACCATTCCTAGCCAGCGGAGCGCGCACAATCCTCTCCTTAGGTAAAGTAGTCCACTCATGCAACTGCTTATGGTATTGCCTCATCAGAGCTAGGATTCCAAACTGTTTGCCATCAAATACAACCCAGTTACGAGATTTCGATATCGCCAAAGCACAACCACAATGCAATTACTTGATGTGAGTTCTAGATGAGAGCCAACAGTTTTTTAAGGAATAGCGGGAAAGTATGACGAGGGAGGCCCTGGCCTAGATGCTCCAAACCAACATGATCCCACAAAGCTCTAACTATAGGGCACTCCAAAAAGAGATGTTCCATAGTTTCGGAATCTGCCCAACAAACTGGACACCTAGGAAGCACCGGGCTTTCGTTGTTGGGAGAAAGCGGGGCAAGATTTACCATAAAAAGATCTTTAGTTTGGGGGAAATCGAGTAATCCCACAGGTGGATCCAACTTTTCCTGTCCATCCAACTAACTGTGGGGCTCCACGTATCCTGTTGTTTATCCACCAACACTGCCAGGTGGTAAGCCGATTTGACTGTGAAAACTCCACCACAACTGTCATGCCAGATGAGCTTATCCTCCATATCCTGGTGGGGTAATGGGATAGCCTTGATAGCACGACAATTGTTAGGGTGGAACCATTGGGCCAATTTATCACCAGACCAACATCCCTCACCAGGGACTAACAAATTTGCCACCTTTAGATCTCCCCTCTGCGAAAGCACCTACGGTTTATAAGTTGGTATATCCGGGTGCAGACTCGGTATCCAACTGGCATGAAACACCGACACCGATTGGCCTTTCCCAATCTAACAGCAGAGGACTCGCTCCAACAAGTGGCACCCGAAAAGGATATTCTGTCATCAATAGGAAGAACAAGAACGCGTAGTAGCAGTGATGAAAGTACCATTGGGAAAATACTTCCCTTTATACACCTGAGCAAGGAGGGACTGGGGTTCATTGAGAATTATCCACCCAATCGTGGCTACTAATGCCTGATTAAAGTGTTCAACCCTCATGCTTGCTGTGACACATCTTTTGCCAAGACATCCACCTGATACGCGAATGCCCATCCTCCACCCCCACCAAAATCTTACCACAAGTCTGTCCAAAATTCTACACAACGTGAGAGGGAGTTTAAAACATGACATAACATGCAACGACAAAGTCGAGCTACTGACTTTATCAAGGTTTCTTTTGCTGCCCACGATAATGTCTTTTGGACCCACCCTTGAAGCCGGGCCGCCAGACGCCAATTGTTCCTCCAAGAATCAGGAATGTGGCCAGCTTGGATTGGGCTATGAGCGTGGGCACCCCAGATATTTACCTTGCACACCCACTGCACCCACCCCCAGAACTTGAGCCAGGAATTCCTGATTCGGGATCGAAATATTTTTACTGAAATAGACCGCTGATTTGGCCAGGTTAACTCGTTGTCCACTGAGTTCCTCATATTCATTCAACACCTCAATCCGATTCTCACATTGCTGCAGAGAGCATCGAAGATATATGTACGTCGTAAAGAACAAGTGTGAAATCCTAGGTGCCCGACGGGCTACTTTTACCCCTTCCAGTTTACCCTCTGAAATGGCTTTACAGAGAAGGGCTGCAAACCCTTCTGTGCACAAAACAAACAATAGGGAAGACAGTGGGTCACCATGCCGGAGGCCGCAGGTGGATTTGAAGAAAACATGAGGTGTACCGTTCATGAGAATCGAGAACGACGATGACCTGAGACATTCCTGTATCCAGCCAATCCAAGTATGGCTAAATCCAAGTTTAGCCAAAACAGCAAAGAGGAAGGGCCACTCGATTCTATCATAGGCCTTTTTCATGTTAACCTTTAGAGCCATGTACCCTTTCTTCTCGCGGTTCTTAATCTTCAGATAATGCATTAATTCATGCCCCAGTAACACATTCTCCACAATTTGTCTCTCCCGGATGAAGGCATTCTGCCCCTCCAAGATGATTTATGAGAGAAATTAAGAAAGTATTTCAGTCATGATTTTGGTGTTAATCTTATACACAAACTTGCATAAGCTTATTGGCCGCAACTGTCTCATGAACTCCACATTATCCACTTTCGGGATCAAAGTAAGCCAAGTATGGTTAAAACTTCGTAATATCCGGTTCGTTCCAAAAAACGAGCATACAACTTCTACCACCGCCCCAAAAAGATTTGAAGAATTTCCCTGTAAAACCATTAGAGCCAAGCGCCTGTTTCGATACCATGGAGAAGACCGTTCGCCGAACTTCATCTGGTAGTACTGCCGCCGTGAGGCTCGCATTCATTTGCTCAGTCACCTTTCGCGGCAGCGGGAGGCTATACACCCTAGATTCCATGTTCAGAATCTGGTTTTCTGACGTGAAAAGGGTTTGATATAAATCAATGGCAGTATCCGCCTTCCGCTTTTCCTCCGTGATCCAATCACCATCGTCATTCTTGCTCTAGTGATCGTGTGGAATTAAGAAGTATTCCGATCACCCTTTTTTAACCACCTCACTCTAGATTTCTATTTCCAGTATATCTCCACTGCCTCCCATTGACGACTAAGATCCGTTTCTGGCATACGCACCTCATCCTAGTTGATTGGGTGGTGCTGTTTAATGCGGTCAATCTCAGCCTAAGTAGTTTTAATGTTTCATAAAGAATTTGTGGTCCCCGCACTACTCTAATCATACAGCAAGTGGCGGAGCTTCTTCAGTCGAACCCAGAGTTTGTACATATGCAACCCATGAAAAATCCTCTTCTCAAACATAATTCACCATAGCCCTGCCTCCGGGTTGTCTGCCCATCGAGCATCAAATCGGAAAAGAGGTCGACTATTCCGGGAATATTTTGTGATAGCGGCCCAGTACCGTCCGTGATCCGCAAACTTTGCAGATTGGATTTCCTCAAGCGAGAAGCTCACCACCTGATCATCGTTAACGCGCGCCATAGCTCTATCCTGCATAACAAGGAGGGAGTTAGTTAACAAACTTCCTTCCTGTGTTACCTTGTCCACGTTAGTGACATCACCCCTATTCGGGGAACTAGAACAAGCCAGGTCTAAGGAAATGCGCAGATCAGGAGGAGGGACTAGGGAATGAGAGCTCAAGATATCAGGGAGCCCGTGACCAACTGGTCTCTTACCAACGTTGGGACACCTCTTAGAATTAATTGCACTATTCGCTGTCGCCACCCAATAAAACCCTCTTCAAATTTTTTTGTGAGAGTTGAAGATCGGGACAGGGGCATTAAATAGGCTATAGAGAGTTGTCATCCAAGGGTAGGAGCCCCAACTCTGTTCGACAAAGTTTGACTTTGGGTAGGAGTTGTTATGGAAATGTCACGTATACCAGTTTTCCTGCACCACAAGTCACATAGAAATCAAGATAAACAAAACATTAAGGAGAAGAAATTATGACTCATGCATAAACACGTCTGAGCCAATAGCATTCACTATTTATCCTTAAAAAATTTAGTTCCCCTCTACGGTACCCAAGGTTATGTAACTATTCCTTCCAGGATAGAACAGACGTATCTTTTCTGTCGTATCGGTACTTGAAACCCCAGAAACCAGCGAACGCAACGAACGGCGAGAAGTCACAAGACTCTGTTTTCTTTTATACATTTGTAGAGAGGAAAATTCAATTTAAAAAAACACATTTTCTTTCTTTCGGCCAAAAATCCTTTTAGGAAAACTTGAGTATGAATATAGAGGGGGTTGGTGCTATCTACACATAAATATAAAGCAATGTCAGGGTAAATATTTTGCCACGTCAGCCGCTTCTCAAAGAACCGCACACTGCGGAAGGACTTTCCGGTAAATTCTCTATTCCCTTTTTTCCAATTTCATACCCATTACAGATCGGATTCCCCAATCCCTTGCCGCTCTCTCTAATTCCTTCCCTGGTTTTCACGACCAGCGGTCCTGGAAACTCTAGGAATCGATTGCCGGCGACTCTCTCTCGCTCTCCCGGTCTATCACGCGCCGCGGTCTCTTTCACGAAGTCTGTCTCGCATCATAGGGTTTACAAGTTTACCCCATCCATGGTTCGAGTGCGGCTATCACCCGAACATCACCGCCGCCTATTCGGAGCAACCTCCCCCTCCTCTGTAAGTCCCCTTAATTTGGCTTTTGAGGATGTCAATGTATATGGGAGTTTATCTTCCCCTTAATTTGCTTCTGAGAGCTAACTATCTCCCTTCAGAGATTCAGTTTGATACTGACCTACTGTTGCATACTTTTGACGATATTAAGACACAATTTGCTGACTGATTGGGTACCTTTGTTGGTGGGTTTCTTTTGGGTTTGTGGAGATTGCAGCAATGCCACCCAAGGGGCTTCGCAGTGATACTTCTTCTAGCCAGAAGAATCAATTTTCATCCATTCCAATTCTGCAACTCCTTTATGTAATATGATCGCTTTGTTATTAGTTTGATGTGTTCCTTAGATTGTATGTTGTATATGCACTAAATTGTAAGTTATTTGA